GTGTCGGGGGCGCTGGTGGCTCCGCTCACACCCCCCTCCAGCTGCGCCGTCATCACGGAATTCGCCCGGCTCCAGCTGCAGCCCAAGGGCATCCGGGGTAGGAACCGGGAGCAGCGGGGAGGAACCGGGGCTGCGCCGGGAGCCGGGCGGCTCCCGCTCCCCTTCCCCTTTCCCTTCCTCTTCCCCTTCCCTTCCCCTTCGTGTCCATTTTCTTCCTTTCCAGTGGTGCTTCCTGGCGAGGAGCAGGCGGACGCTCCGGAGAAGCCAGAGGGGGATGAGGCGGCTCCGGCCTCCGGCGGCTCCGAGGTTCCGCGCACGGCGGTGCCGGGACAAGTGTGCGAGGTGCCCGGATTGGGGGGGGCGGGAGGCTCATCCCGGCATCCGGAGCAGGGAGAATCCCYGGAGCCGGTGCCCAGTGCAGGGCTCATCCCGGGACCAGGGGGAGGCTCGGCCTCGCATCTGGAACAAGGATCATCCTGGGATCCGGATCCCAGAGCAGGGGGCTCGTCCCAGGATCCAGACCCAGCACAGGGCTCGTCCTGGCATCCGGATCCCAGCAGCGGACTCATCCCGGGATCTGGATCCCAGCYGAGGACTCATCCCGGGATCCAGACTCCGGAGCAGGGCTCATCCTGGCATCCAGTCCTGAGCACAGGGCTCATCCCGGGCTCTAGACCCCAGCACAGGGCTTGTCCTGGGCTCCAGATCCCAGCATGGGGCTCATCCCAGGATCTGGATCCGAGAGCAGGGGGCTCATCCCGGGCTCCAGTCCCCGGCACGGGGCTCATCCCGGGATCCTGACCCCAACTGAGGGCTCATCCCGGGATCCAGATCCCAGCTGAGGGCTCATCCCGGGATCCCGACCCCGGAGCAGGGGGCTCCTCCCGGGCTCCGGGCCCTGGAGCATCTCCTCCCGGGCTCATCCCTGGAGCGCCTGCTCCCGACTCCCGCCTCCGGAGCGGCCCCTTTCCCACGTGTCCGCTGTCCCGGCAGGGCGGGCTGCGGGTGCTGGAGGCGCTGGCGGCCTCGGGGCTGCGCTCGGTGCGCTTCGCACGCGAGGTGCCGGGGCTGCGCGCCGTGGTGGCCAACGACGCGGCGGCGCGGGCGGCCGCGCTCGCGCGCCGCAACGTGGCCCTCAACGCCGTGGGGCACCTGGTGGCCRCCAGCCAGGCCGACGCCAGGTGGGGACCCCGGGATCCTCCTTGACGGGATGTCGCCCCCGTTCCCGGGGCCCCGGGGTGCCCCCGGCCTCGCTCTGGCGCCTGGGGAGGGGACAAAGGGGTCGCAGTTGGGGTCCCGGGGGGATGTGGCCTCTGCTTCCCGGTCCCGGCTGCTCCTGGACCCCCTGTCCCCACAGGGTGGTGTCCCCCGTTTTGGTGTCCCCATTATCCCATGTCCCCCCCCAGGGTGTCCCTGAGCCCCCATTTTGGTGTCCCCATTATCCCATGTCCCCCCCCCAGGGTATCCCCAACCTCTCATTTCAGTGTCCCCATTATCCCATGTCCCTTTATCTCCCCCCAGGGTGTCCCCAACCCTTCACTTTGGCGTCCCTATTTCATCTACGTCCCCCTATCCCTCCTCCAGGGTATCCCCAACCGCTATTTCGGTCCCCTCGTGTCCCCCCGTGTCCCCCCAGGGTGTCCCCAGCCCCTCATTTCGGTCCCCCCGTGTCCCCCCAGGATGCTGATGTACCAGAGCAGGGCCAACCGGGAGCCCTTCGACGTCATCGACCTGGATCCCTACGGGAGCCCCGCGCCCTTCCTGGACGCGGCCGTGCAGGCCGTGAGCGACGGCGGTGAGCGGCGCCCGGACGCCTGGGCCCCTGCGGGGAGGGGGACACCCGCCCTACTCTTCCTCCTCCTCCTCCTCCTCCTCCTCCTCCTCGGCAGGGCTGCTCTGCGTCACCTGCACCGACATGGCCGTGCTGGCCGGCAACAGCCCCGAGACCTGCTACAGCAAGTACGGCGCCGTGTCCCTCAAGGGCAAGTTCTGTCACGAGATGGTGAGTGCTCAGCGCGGCACGGGGCGGGTCACACCGCCACCGTGTCCCCCACGCGGCACTTGTGTCCCCCACGCGACGCTCCTGTCCCCACGCGACACTTGTGTTCCCACGTGGTGCTTGTGCCCTCCATGCGGCGCTGGGGAGGTGACATTGCCACCCGTGTCCCCCACGCCAGGTGCTTCTGTCCCCCCATTTGGTGCTCATGTCCCCCACACGACACCCGTGTCCCCACACGA